CAATATTAACTATTCACCTATACTTCACCTGATTGATAGCATTTCAACATATAAAGCATTTAAAGAGATTTCCACTCTGCTTGCTCCTAGACGGCTCATCAGAATGTTAAACTGCACATTCAGTTAGAAACAATCAGCTCTGATGATGTTCCCTGTTGGTGTTGCCCACATCAATACACCCTGTTTGGATGTGATGGTGAAGTGCACAATCCTATAATTATTTGTCACACACTCCTTCAGGGATTCTCGGATTTGGGTGTTTGTTTCCTTGGCTATTCAGCCTGCCAGAAGTCAGTCTACACCTGAAGTGTAACAGCAGGTTTTGGCCGTATACTGAGACTGAGTAAATTCTTGTTTACCCCTCCTATCTCAAATTCAGTCATTCCTTGGAAGTCACTCTGGCAGCCCCTCCCACCCCCTCTGTATCTGTTGACCAGGGTACTGAAGTGGTATCTAACAGATTCTCAACAAGGTTGGTTCTGATCCTGGCATTATCGACCGAGTGGTTGGATTGTCACCCTTCTTTGCCTAGTTAGTTTCTGTAGAATCTCAGTCTTCCTAGTCTGTGGGCACGATCCATAAATAAGGGCTTCTTGGCTTCTTTAATCTTAAAGAGCTTCCTTTAGGAGGGGATGAGAACCTGAGTGAGGGTTTGTCAGGTGGCTCCTAGGCTAAATATTTACCCTTGTGATGCAATGTAGGATCATCAGATATGACAATTGCTGAAACTTGAATTCAAATGAAATGCATTTGGATCGTAATTTCACTACTCAAATTAGACTCGACCAAAACTTAATGATTTGTCGATTTAAATTTGAATCTTAAAAAAAAAAGATTTTCTTTTCTTTTCTTTTTTTTTTGCCCCTGGATTTTATTGTCTGCCACAGATGCACAAACACAGAGCAAATAATAAGCAGTATTGGTGCAAAGCATGAGAAAGGGGAAGGGAACTGAATGTGCTAAAAATTCTAAAAGCTGGAACGTATCCTCTCTCCAGAATCACCTGAACGTGAGATGGAAGTGAGGTTCGTTAATCCACTCGCAGTTCATCAGAGATCACAAACTTAACATTCAGGTTGTACCCACCTTCTGATGACGGGATGCGCCTTACTGTCTCATGCCTCTGGGGCAGCTTCCTTGCCTGAGATGAGCTGCCTGCTCCTCCTGGGCTGCAGGATACCCAGCTTGGAGCTCTGGGCATGACTTAATGTCCTCCTTTCCCCAAGATATCTGTGCATGTTTCTCTTGTGACTCTGGCCACACAGTAGTAACCTCCTGGTGGTCACTTCTGTGTTGGTCATGTTCTCTAAAGGCGGGTCTGCTTTTTTTGATTCAATTTTGTATCCTAGGAATCCACGACAATGTTAGGTAAGAACACAGTGAAAAATTCCCACTCCTACTTCTCCTATGACTCCTGCTGTTGGTGGTGGTGACACTAAAGCTGGTGAGCTAGCGTGGGCTGCTCCCAGGCACCGGGCTGCTCACACAGGTTTTCACATGGTGGTCTGCGGTCTGGAGATGGGCTTAGGAGAAGGAAGTTGGAGAGGCTATTGGGGTGGAAGGGCAAATGTGAAAGGTTATGATAGAAAAACCACTTTTGTATTACAAATGGCCACGTGAGGACTATGAATTTGCCGTAACTTTTAGATTTTTATTTTCCGATTTTCATTTAATATGAGGGTACAGACGATTAGGTTACATTGTTTGCATTTGTTAGGTAAAGTCCAAGGTGTAGTCGTGCCCCTCCCCCAGGAGGTGTGCTATATAACCTTACATCGTGCCTATGAGGTAAGAGGACACCAATCCCGCTACCATCCCCCCCACTCCCTCTACCCCTCCCATCTCCCCTCCTCCCCCACCACCACCCCACTTGAATTTAATTGTGTTTGTCTCTTGTATGGGCGTCTATTTATTTGTTCATCTACTGGTTTTATATTAGTATTGAGTACATTAGACACTTGCTTTTCCATTCTTGTGATACTTTACTAAGGAGGATGTTCTCCAACTGCAGCCAGGTTAATACAAAAGATGTGAAGTTTGCATCTTTTTTATGGGTGAATAGTATTTCCATGGTTTACATATACCATCCTTTATTAATCCATTCATGTGTAGATGGACACCAGGATTGATTCTACATATTGGGGATTGTGAATTGAGCTGCAATAAACATTCAAGTGCAAATGTCCTTATGAAACAATTCTTATGGGATTTTAAAAATATTTATGTGCACATGACACTTCTTATGTTCTGTGGAATATTTGATTTCCCCCACTAAAAGTGTGACTGCCCTGAGCATGGTGATGTGTAGGAAGAGATGTGAACTTGATTCCACATCATCTAACACTCTTTTTATCAGTAATTAAGAAAACATTTATTAACCTAATGAACTTGAATAAGACTCTGGGCCCAAGTATAAATTTTGTTGTCTATAAATTCAGACTTATGTAATCTATCTTCTTAGGGTTTTTTGAGGATGCAAAGAGAAAATGAATGTCATTTGTAAGGTACCAGGTACTAGGCAATCATAGAACTGTGACAAGTTTTTCTTGTTGCATTTGGTTGGGGGTGAGAGCTAGAAGTTGGAAATAAGTGTCTGACTTGAGGTTAAAGACCTGGGGGCAAAGCTGTGCTCCTACCACTTCCCTAGTTATGTGAGATAAATTAGTGAAAAAAGAATCTTAAAGCTGTCCAGCTCAAGGGTTATTGTTAGAATTAAGTGGAAAATATCTATGAAGGTACCTGGTACACTGCAGTGCTTGGCCAGCGTATAGAGCTTTCCTTTAGGGCAAAGAAAGGTAAAAAAAAAAAAAAAAACCCACAATGGTTCTGAGTGGGTAGCACATGGGGAGGAAAAAGGCCAGCCTTTTCCTGGCCTTTTTCTGGCCAGCCTTTTTAAGGCCAGCCTTTTCCTGGCCTTAAAAATATTTATGTGCACGTGACACTTGGCACATAAGTGGCAAGCAGACCAAGTTTCATGGTCTGCTGCGGGCTCCCAAGTGAGTCCTCTGAGTGAGTGCTCTAAGCCTATTTCCTCAGATGTGAATTGGGCATCATAATGCTACCAGCAAGAATTTTCTTAATTATCTCTTACAGTTGCTGTAAGGACTAAAAAAAAATAAGGTATCAACAGACGTGGAATAGGAAACCAAAAATTTATTCTCTCCCCAAATTGAGAGTCATGCTCATGATACTTCTGATTTTTTCTTTTTTTAAATACGGAGTCTCACTCTGTTCCCCAGGCTAAAGTGTGATGGCCTCACCCTAGCACACAGCAACCTCAAACTCCTGGGTTTAAGCCGTCCTCCTGCCTCAGCCTCCCGAGTGGCTGGGACTACAGGCACCTGCCACAATGCCCAACTAACTTTTCTATTTTTTGTAGAAATGGGAGTCTTATTCTTGCTCAGGCTTGCTCACACTTGGGCTAATACAAGTGCTGAGGACGCTCTTTGGACAAAATGTAGGCAGTTCACTATAGAAGCTTGCCACTTGTGATCTAGCTGACTAGTACAAATTCACGAAGGAAGCAGAACAGAAAAGGAAAGAGAGATGCAGCTGATGAATCGTGGACTGATGGTGTAGGACCGAGAGTGACACACACTCGTTCCGGCAACTTTGATAAGATGAAGACTTTCTGCCCAAGCCCCTCTGTGAAGGGGAGGTCAGTCGGGATCTGGCAGAGCAGGAGAGAAAGCCCAGTGGGGCGGAGGAGCTCCTCTACTGCGGGCAGAGGCCCCTCGCTCCTCCAGGCCTCTCTCTGTTGTTTGTGTCAAAGTGAGGCTGGGAATGTGTAATCATAATAAAGAAGCAACTAACATATATTAGACCTTTACTGCATTTTTTACCTGTGCATTCTCAGTGAATTCTCAAAAAATATCCCCAAGGGTCATTCAGCCCAAACACTTTGCCTAGTGATGGAGTGAGTTAGTGGCAGAGCCAGGACGTGAGGCCAGGAACTCCACTCCACGTCCCCTCTGAGCTCTGAGCTGGGCAGCGTGCGTGGCTAGAGAGATCTAAACATGCACGTCAGTATGGGGACACCATTCAGCCTCGGGGGATGTCGTCAGCAGTTAGTTCATTTCATTTCAGGTGGAATCAGGGAATATACTCTTTGACTCATGAAAGCCAGTGAGTAGACAGATTTGGCTTCTGATACTTTTTTAAATGGAGAAGTTTATAAATATTGCCCCATAGATCAGTGGCAGGACTAACCCCTTGAAAGGTAAGCTTTGGAGTAGCCTATAAGCCAGCCCAGAAGGGTGAGTTGCCCCGGGAGACGCTGGAGTTTTGGACACTAAGTGAGTGAGTGGAGACCTTCTTGAAGATCATGGTGCCCTGTGGTTGGTGTCAGACACTACTGAGAGGCCGGATGAAATGAGAACACAGAGGCCCCTAAGACTGCACGGTCAGAAGGCAGGTTGCTGGGCCAGTGTCTGAGATCACATCACTTGTGTCATCCTGTTGCTGGCAAAGGGGTTTCTGAAAGGTAGTTCTCTATTTTACCCCCAGTTTTGGGAAGTACACTCTCTTTGGGGCCAGTCTGTCCTCACCCTACTTAATACAGCTCAAGTAGAGTCCCTCCTCACTGAACTTCACCATCTAACTGTTAAATCAGGGTAGAGATGCGTTTCTGCCATAGCTGAATAGCTCAGCAGTCTCCAAAGTTAGCTCTCCAAGTCCTTCCTGGATCAGAATGTTTGAATCAGTCGGTACATTTGCAACTATAATGATTTGTATTTTTTGCCTTTTGACATATTTCAGCTGCATCTGTGAGCTGATGTATTATTGCTCTTGAAATGGTTTTTTAATTGTGAAATATTTCAGTCATGCGTTTTGACGTCTGGAAGCATGCGCTAATAGTAGTCTAATCACCCTGGAGATGCCGATGCTTCTGTGAGCTCACGCGGAGGTGAGGCTGCACGTCTCTGTGGGAATGACAAGTGAATGAATCTCTTGCTCACTTAACCTGCTGTTCTTTTCTCTCCGTGTGTTTTCTCTCCTAGGAAACAAATGGAAGACTGCTGCGACCCCGCCCATCTCTTTGCAATGACTAAAACGAATTCCCCCATGGGGAAGAGCATGTGGTATGACGGGGAGCTCTTATATTCCTTCACCATCGACAATTCAACGTATTCTCTCTTCCCCCAGGTGAGTGTGGAGTTTGTTGCCTTTCAGTACAGCTTAAATTTCTCAATGGCACAGAGAAGGGATAATTAAGTTTGCCTGACCCATGGGATCCACTTTTCATCTGCCTTCTTCTCTTCTGAATTTTTAAATGTTTTTCTGTTATACCTGTCATTTTATGAAATCACATCATATGCTGATGCAGGGGCAGAAGCAAGAGATTCGAGAGAAGTCAGACACCACGGAGTTGCAGTTTCCCGGGCCCTCTTGAGTTGAGTTGTGTGCGAATGAAGGAAACGAACGAAGAATGGTCGGGGAATTGTGGAATTCTAGTGCTTGGAGGCTCTCTGCGGAATGATCTGGAGGATTTGTGATACTGGAATGTTTTCTTAGGACTGATGTTGCTCTCGGGGAGTGGGGACCATATGGTTTCCTTCTTAGAGCTCTTGCCTGTTAAGCCTGTGGTTAGATTACTACTGTGAAGTGGAGGAGTGGTGGATATGGACAGAAAGAATTCATTTTGACCACTTTTGAAGTGGTCTAAATCAAGCTTTGCTTACTTAATGTTTTTCTTCTTGGTTTTCTGAGCAGTGAAATAAAATGTTTTCCTAACATCCTGCTGGTCGGCAGGGGTGGGGGGGGGGAGGAAATCTTTGTCCTAGAGAACCCTAGTCAAGGGGAGGGGGCAAGTTTAGGTGAAATGGACATTAGGGAAAAGTGGAGGAATGAATCTTGGCCTCCCCCAATTGTCTTCTAGCCACCTTTGGTTTGGCCAGATTATTGTAGAGAAAGAGAATTCATGGTCAGACTTGGGGAGTGGGACTGAACCTTTCATTTGTCTCTGTTAGTAGCCAATGAGTCTTTAAAGGATGGATTCTGTACAGTTTGGGCACAGCTTCTATCACATCTTGTCACACTCTCCATGACACAGTTCATATGTACCACTCATCTGTAATGGTTTTAGAGTGTAGTGACAAGTCTAAAAAATTTTAAATAGGAAATAAAAGGGTTAATTCACTGCCAACACCCATTTTATGCCTGGAGAAAGTGTCAGAGGACATGACTAAAAGTCATGCAACGTGGAATTAAATTTTGTCTCTGTTTTACTAACTAAATACCTTGGGTAGGTCACCGAGTGTTCTGTGAAAGTCACTATGTCATCTGTGTAATGGATAGAACAGCACCTGTCCTGTCTACCTCACGGGGTAGTGGTGAAGCTCAATTTGGATAATTCATGGCAGTGTACCATGTAAACTACACAGCATTATAGAAATGTTTGGTGTTAAGAATGTGCTGATTCATGCTTTGAATAATGATAGTGAGAAATGAAGAATATGATTGTTATAAGTCAGGATTTAGGCAAGGTAGAAAAATTTCCCTAGGTATTTTTGCCAGAAAGATGTTTCATATAGGGAATTAGGCACTTAAGAAAAATCACTGGAAGAATGAAGACTGGGGAGTCAAGAGGTGACTTCTGGAATTATTGAGTTCGAGAAGCAACTGCTCTCACTGTGGTCTAGGGATTACGAAACCCAGGTGCCACTGCTGTTAGCTTGGCCACGCTGCTGCCAACAGGAGACAGTGGCGGGTCTCAATTCTCCTCCCTCTTCCATATTTCCCTCTGGTGCATCTAATGGGTAATGATGAATTTGCATTTAGCGTGTTAGTTACAAAGACGTCCAAGACAGGCACCTTTTAGCCATCAAGCTTCAGCAGGAAGCTAGAAAGAAGGAACAGAGAGGCTGAAGCAGCCAATCCACAGGCTCCTCTGTGTACAAAAACTGATACCAAGTAGCTATGCTGTAGGAAGCCAGCTTCCTCAACAGCTCATCAGACAGTAGCATTTTAAAAGAAATCCCAAAGAGGCTCTTTCTAGATGAGGGCTTTCAGTCATGCCAACTGACTTCTAACTTTGCATGAGAAAATAGATTTAAAGAAAAGAGATGCCTAAAGAAATACAAATTAGCCTCGTATCTTATCTGTCGGTTGCAGCAGTAGGATGGTAGGAAACAGTTACTTTGTAAAGTGTGTGCAAATGAATTCCATGCCCCTTTGTGCCAGCTGCAAGGCCAAGGAATCATCCTTGAATAGTAAAGGAAAAACCCTTTTCTTTTTCTTAGGGACCCGAAGTCATTACATTATTGTGTGTGTGCAGTCCTAACAAAAGGCTGAACTCATTCAATGACTAGATTTTTTTTTTTTTTTAGAGAAAAGGTACATAGGTCTTCTTTATGCTGAGACTTTGAATAGACCGATCAATTCATAGAAATCTTGGGAAACCAGCTTGCATCACTGAAAACAAGGTATATTTCACCCTGCTCTCAGAAGTATCATTATTTCTTAGCAAACGGTTTCTAGTTTATTATCAGTGAACTAAATTGCTAGTCAATTGGCAAACTGCATTCATCTTCCCTGGGGGAAGAAAGCAGTGTGTACAGCTGAGGCAAAAATGCAGGTGAGTGGGCCAAGTTCAGCGTTGTTAGTGCGAACTTCCTTCCTTCCGTCCTTCCCCTGAGTTTCAGCAGAAGGATGCCAAGCCACTCATTCTCTAACTCAGATTATATATCTGTACCTTTATTGTTTTCCTCTAAATGCTTAATATATATTAGCCATCATGTGAGCCATTGTCATCATCATTATTATTCTTTTGTCTTCTTTTGTCTATTTTTTTCTTGTTGCCAGGATGCAATACAAGAAAGTTTATGGAATTTTTTTTCTTTTTGAGACAAAGTCTCACTCTGTACCCTGGGAAGACTGCTGGAGCATCACAGCTCACAGCAACCTCAAACTCTTGGGCTCAAATGATCCCCTTGCCTCAGCCTCCCAAGTAGCTGGGACTACAGGTGCCCATCACAATGCCTAGCTGTTTTTTTTCTATTTTTGGTAGAGATGAGGGTCTTGCTATTGCTCAGGCTGGTCTTGAACTCCTGACTGCAGGCGATCCACCAACCAGAGTGTTGGGATTATAGGCATGAGGCAAGGCACACAGCCTCTATGTTACGGAATGTTAGCAGGTCCTAATAAGGGCTGTCTGTCCTCAGGAGGAGGCTGCTGAAATGCTCTGTACTGTCAATGTCACATGGATCTCCTTTATTACAGCTTCTTATTTGGCCCTTTCACAATTTCCCCTGGTTTCATTATCAAATCTATTCTGTTCTGCCACACATTGTGGTTATTACATAACTACATCATCTACATATCACAGTTTTCTAAAAGTTCTTATCTGCTGATCGTAATACCATCTTGTGAGCTTTTGAAGAACACGAAGTTTTTCATTTTGGTGCTCCATGTGATGCTTCCCACTCAATATAAATAAATATTCATTCATTTCCAGCTATTCATGTTTGCTAGGAGGGCTCCCTGTGTCCCAGTTGGGCTAGACCACAGCAGTGCCCTTGCTTGAACTGTAGAAAACTAAGTAGGATGTTTTGATGGAGCTATTTCTAAATGGCCCTATGAATGTACTTTGGTGAAATATTTATTGAATATCATTAGGCATGAAGAGCCACATTTTAACCTTCACAGTGGATTTCATAAGTATGCAGTGTGTGTGTGAGTGTGTGTATGTGCATGTGTGTTCTGAGTGGGCAGTGTGGTACAGTGGGCTGGGATGTGTCCCACTCTGGAAATGCCACATGCCCTAGGTTGGGATTAGCTCACCTGTTTAAGCAAGGACTGTCCTTTTCAAGTCTACATGGTCCAATGTTAGTAGGTATTATCGAATGAACTGTGTTTTGGCCTAAGAGATATTTCTCAGGAAGAGCATAAATTTCCTTGGAAACGAGTAAGGGAGTGTCAGGAATGTTTGAAACCACAAGTGTGCTGATATAATCTGAGAAATATTTCGTTTTGGTGTAATAAAAACAGGGTTGGCTCTTCCTTCTCTTATATTGTGATATGAATTACAAACTAGTTGCTTTTCCTGAGAATATTCACCCAAGCCTAGATGTAAAGAATCACATCATTAATGCACCCCGCAGGGACATGCGTTTCCAGCTCCCTAGGTTGGCTGTGGGTTCCCTATCATGTCTCCCTGGGCCTGGACTGGCAGTGTCCTTGGCCTTGGGGAAACCCAGCAGGATATTTCAAAGTAATTTGTCAAAACAGGTTTGTTGAAATGAAACACATTTTCTTTTCTTAGGTGCTTAATAGAATTTTCTGAGCTCCTGGATATCCTTTAGTCTCATAGCATTTTTAATTTTTTTCTCCTTATGAGATTTGGATCAGGCTATAGAACCTACAGAATTTGGTGGTTGGTTTTTTTATCTTATAAAAGTTATTGTAATCAATCATTCTTCCAGATGAATACCTTTTTGATTGTAAGGAAACTATGGGGAATGGTGTTTGGTGGGTATAGATCTTTGCCAGACTTTTGTTAGGTTCTGTTGTGAGGCTTGTATTTGGCTGCTTTCTAACAAAAACCTGACATAGGGGCTTAACCAAATAGATGCTTATTTATCTCAAGCAATAAGAAATGAGGGAGCAGGTAGCTCAGGGCTAAAAGATAGCTCTACAGTGCCATCAAGCCCACAGGCTTCTGTCTTCTGCTCATCCATCCTTAACTGATGGCCAAGGAACCTCCCAGTTTTGGTCCAGGATGCCAGCAGGATCCAAGCAGAAGGAGAAAACATAAGAGGAAAATTGGACAGACGCCTGCTTATGTGTCACTGGTCAGGACTGAGTTACATGTGTACGTCTAACTGCAGGAAAGGCCGGGAACTTCAATGTTCCAGCTCTAGGCAAATGCAGCACTTCTGCTGACCTATGCTGTCTGCCCCACTCTCTTCACACATTCTATCTTTACGGCATCTCTGTGCTTGTTATTACTGTCTCTGTGTCGTGGAAGAAACTAAGAGTGAGAGTGACTGAATTGCTCATTCAAGGTCCCAGAGCTGGTAGGTGGAAGGGCTGGGATCTGAAACTTGGCCTGTATGATTTCACAAGTTTTCTAGTTTACTGTCTTGTTGAAGGGGCAGGGGCTCTGGTGGATTAGTTTTTAATTCTTCAGTTACCTGGAAGCTATT